TTTGATGTTTTCAAGGGTTCAGGTTTTCGGGTTTATGGTCTATAGCTTGGATTTTCGGTCTATGAGTTTAGGGTTTTGGAGCCCAGAAGAACCAAGCAGTGCTTCGGGTCGAAGTTTATGTTTCTGATCCCGGAGTCCCTTTTTCACCAGATATATCCTAAACCCTAAACCCTAAACCCTAAACCTTAAACCCTAAACCCTGAACCCCTAAACCCTAAACCCTAAACCCTAAAGATCCCTTTTGTTCATGTGGTCTGCAGGGGTCGTGGAATCCAAAGGAGTTGGGAAGCCTCTTGGGTTTAACTTTAAGGTTTGGGGGGTCAGGGTTTATGGGTTTAGGGTTAGGGCTTTTAGGGTTCCTTTAAAGGGTACTATATAAAGGTTTTTTTTTAACGGATCTATGGGGTATACTAGGGGTTTAGAGTTTAGGGTTTAAGGGTTACGGGTTTAGGGTTTAGGGGTTTAGGGGTTTAGGGGTTAAGGGGTTAAGGGGTTAAGGGGTTTAGGGGTTTAGGGGTTTAGGGCTTCAGCTAAAAATTTGGGGGGTTAGGGTTTAGGGGTTCAGGGGTGTAGGGGTTTAGGGCTTACTTAGGGGGGGCACTTGTCTGTGCCGTTGCATTCGCGGCAAGTACGGATGCTTGCACAATATTTTGGGTTTGTAGCTGCGCCACCTTCCAACAAATAGTTGAGCCGTTCAAGTCATTCCCAACACCCTGAACCACACGTACAAGAGAACATAAGGGACCTTCATTCCACAGATAGATAGTTGAAGGGATCCCTGGATAAATCACCAAACCTGGTCTGAACCGTCAACTCGAGTACCCTAAGCCGTATCTTCGGACCCGCATACAGCTGCCGAGGCCTTCTGCCAACATGGCTTCCGAGACGCACAGAAATTCCGGGCATAGGACTAAACCCTAAACCCTAAACCCTAAATCTCTAAACCCCTATAAACCCTAAACCCTAACCTGGGGGTTGGGATTTCGGGGGTTTCAGGCTGAGGCACGAGTTTGGGTTTTGGATTTCGGATGGGCCTGCCTGGGGCGCAAGAACTTAAACCGAGAAGGCCATCTCCACAACGAGCCGTGGCAGAAGTGGAGCCTCTCGAATATAGGGGCCTAAATATTTACCTCTACTATTTTGGGGGTTCCTTACTCTAATTATCGTATAAAATACCACAGAACCCTATTCTAGTTGTTAAGGCCCTTAACCGTTTAAACCCTGATAGTAGCCCTTATAGAACCCTCGAAGGGGCCCTTTAAAGGAACACTATAAAGCCCTATTCAAATTATTAAGGCCCCTACATTAGTGTAAGCAAGCTGGCCCTGAACTTCGCAGTGGTCACGGTCTGGAATTCGAGAGTAACCTTCAACTGCGGTTCCAGGTTTGGCGTTAGGTTCACGTGGTGTGCCAGCCTGTATGCAATGAGAGACTTGCATACATGCTGACCCTAGATCCTATAAACCCTAAACCCTAAACCCTATAAGCCCTAAACCGGGGTTCGTTTAGTTTGTGGGACGTTGAGAATACGGAGCTCGGATCCTTCAACTCTCCAAAAGCACTCGCAGAAAGAAACCGTGACAGCAGCTCGTATTTGGCAATGTGTACCTTGCCTTTACAGCAGTGGGTTTAGGGTTTAGGGTTTAGGGCCAAAACCCAACCCAAAAGCTAACTCTTACTTGGTCTACTTACGCGGATCTCGTGAGTTAGCAGAAAAACGTGGTAACGGAGTCAAACAAGGCCCCAAGGCTGTTTAGTTTCAGAAGGCCCAACCCGCGCGACTCCGGCTTGCAATTTTTTTAGGGTTTACTTGGAGGCCCAGGGGACTTAGTAAGTAGGTTGTAAGTAGAGTTATAAGTACCCCAAATGGAGTTACCCTAATTATGATCCTACTTAAAACCAAATTACTACGTCTCCTGGGCCTCCAAGTGGATGTCGCTACTAGCCCTGCCGTGTGGATGTGGGATCCCCAGAGGAGTACGTGACTCCCAAAGAACCCAATACCCCTTAATTAAGGAATCTACCTTAAATCATAATATTAAGGACCCCATAATATTCCTTAATTCAGGGGCATTGGATTCTCTGGGCTGGTATTCTGAAGACGACAACAGGGACCAAGCTTAGAGAACCCTCCATGTAAAGTTCCGCAGGAACCCCATAAGCCCTAAACTCCCACACCCGGCATCGAATCCTACTTGTAATTCCTTGAACCCCCCCAAACCCCACCAACTCCCCAAGAGCTAAAACCCTAAACGCAAACATCCTAACGCCGTAACACCCTAAAGCCCATGAGTTCTGCAGTCCGTGAGCCGATACACCCGGAGACCGAACCCAAAGCCTTCAGCTATCACCGAGCCCCTGTGGAACCATTACAGTATCCTTGGAAGTAACGCTAAAGCCCAAAGGGTCCAAAGGACCCAATAATCAGGTATTGAGGTTTCGGATAGTCGATATGTAGGTTACTATTTGGGAGAGTATATGATTATTAGGTACTTGGAGCCTTAGGGTAAACCTTAAACCTCAAACCTTCATAGGTTCATGAGTAGTACCCTTCGCCCTTTTTACTTGTATGGCTCCCTTGTTAAAACCGAAGATTAGAAAAACAAGGATACCCTTATTATGAAGCGGGACACACAGGAACCGATGACTCCAAATCTAGGAGCCCTGACGACCGAGGCTCATCCATGTAATCTCGAACCGGTTCTTGGCCCCTCGGCCCAGATCTTGAGGTTCTGTAACCTAGACCCTCCATCGGTTCAGGGTTTAGGGTTTAGAAATAATCTAGCTTCGGTTAGATCCTACAGAACAAATTATTTGGGACCCTGTGCCCCTACTTGAGGGTACAAGCGAGGTCGTGAATGGGTTGGTTTATAGCTTGGTTGGAGGGTGGTGTGGGCTTAACCGTTTTGGAAGGATCTTTGTAAAAACAAGGGCCTCAGTAATTACTTATACTATTTTGGATATACCCCAAAACCCTATTCTAATTAATAAGGCCCTTAGCCCTAAACCCTGATAGTAGCCCTTATAGAACCTTTTAAGGGACCCTTTAGAGGAACACTATAAAAAAAAACTATTCTAATTATTGAGGCCCCTACATCAACTGAAACCCAAAAACAGCGAACGTTTTGGGCTCCAGGGCTCCGGGTTAGGGGTGTGGGGTTTAGGGTTTAGGGGTGTGGGGTTTAGGGTTTAGGGTTTGGGGTTTAGGGTTTAGGGTTTAGGGTTTGGGGGTGTGGGGTTTAGCGTTTGGGGTTTAGGGTTCGGGGTTTGGGGTTTGGGGTTTAGGGTCTGGGGTTTAGCAGTTCCGGATCGAGCAGTTTCTGGTCCAGGTCACTACTCCGATACTAAAAAAGTTCCCCCTCAACATTGGGAGAAGGTTGTAGTTTTTTTTTCTTCCTAGCTTTAGTTCTCACAACAGTGCTGCCTTAAACCCAAAACCCCGAAACCCGAGAAGCCGCAAAAGCTCGCGCAAAAATCAGGTGTGGCCCTAAACCCTAAACCCCTAAACCCTAAAAGTTCTGGCCCTGATCTGTCGTGGGCAATTGCGATATCGGCCTTGGACCCTACGATATAGGTTTAGGGTTCAGGGTTTAGGGTCTGCGAAATCGAAAATGCCAACGGACAAATCAGATGTGGCCATCAGAAAAGTTTTGATTTTTCCGTGGGCAAGCGCGAAATCGCAAATGCCCACGAAAAAGCAGCCGGCAGAAAGCCTTGATTTTTTCGTTGGCATTTGCGAAATCGCAAATGCCAACAAAAAGCACAAATGCCCACGACACGAGCGCCATTGCCCACGAAAAACACCAGGTTTTTTTCGTTTGCAATCGCGCAATTCATGTTTTTTTCATATGCGATTGCGAAAAAAGGCCAGAACTGACAATTGCCCTCTAAACCTGGTAGGCTTAACGTTATATGTAAGAGAGGCTTAGGGTTCGGGTTTAAGGCTTGGGGCCAAAGGTTATGGCCTTTTAGGGTTTAGGGTTTAGGGTTCAGCAGCTCCGGATCGAGCAGTCTCTAGTCGAGCTCGCTATTTCGACTCTGATCCCAATCCAGAAACCCTACTGAAAGGGGCTGTTTTCCAGAGTTTCCCATGTGCAGCCTGCTCTAAAAGCAGAGCCCCTTGCAGGTACATGCCTGATAGGTGCACATGCAGAGCTTAGACCTAGGGTTGTAGGTTTCCCGTTCTTTGAGAAAATCCGGGAAACGTAAGAGCTATGCTGAAGATAGATGGCAGTAGTGGGGAGCAGTGAAGCTGAGTCTTTAGAGTCTGCGATTCCGAACTTTTTTTTGATTTCGCCTGTGGAGCTCTGACTTTCTGAGAGTGTAGGAGCTTCGGAGTTATATACAGGTCGGAGTACATATTGACATTTTCGGAGGATTTCTATCTGTCCCCGCGATGCCCTATTCCAATTGTCAGTGCCCCTATCATCCCTAAACCCAAAACCCTAAACCCTAAGCCCTAAACTCTAAACCGTATCAGCTCGCTACCACTGTACGACACACAGCGACCGAACTTTAGATTTGGATCGCTTCCCGAAGTCCCACAGATCCGAGAGGCAACCCCCAAAACCCTAAACCCTAAACCCCTAAACCCAAACCCCCTAAACCCAAAGCCCCTAAACCCTAAACCCTAAACCCCTAAACCCTAAACCCTAAACCCTAAACCCTAAACCCTAAACCCTAAACCCTAAACCCAAACCCCCTAACCTCGAACGCCTTCGGAAGACCCCAAAGCCCCAATTGAAAACTCGTAAACCCTAAACCCCAAACCCTCTTACCCTCTACTCTGAACCCTTAACCAGAACTCCCAAGCTCCTAGAGACCAGCACCCGGAACCCTCAACCCGGAAACCTTAAAGCTCCAGAAAGCTTAAACGCCCTCTACTTTGGAAAATCATATTGGGCAGTTCTGTAAATTAGCGTCTCCCAAACAGAGTACGGCACCCCAATAAAAAGGACCCCAAAAGGGAACCTAATTTAGAAAACTACCCATATCGCAAGGATTCTGACCTGGCCTTCCTCCACTACCAGGAGCGGAAACTGCGCCAGGCCGGCTGCCTCTTCATTGTTTCCGGTAAGCAAAGGTCATTTTAAGGGTTCCGTTAGGGATTTTTGGGGTGTTGGGGTTTGTTTCAAGGCTTTAGGGTGCCAGGGCCCTGCAAGCAAAGTATTTGAAGGGTTCCGTCAGGGTTTTTTGGGGTGTTGTTTTTTTCAGATAGGCTTTAGGGTTTAGGGTTTAGGGTTTTTGAATGGGTTCAGGAGTTTATAGGATTTAGGGTTTAGGGCTGGTAGGGTTTAGTTTTTTTAAAATAGGGTTCATGCGTTTATAGGATTTGGGGTTTAGGGCTGGGGGCTTTCGGGTTTATGGCCCCAGACGCGCCCAGAGTGAAGGTGGTGAGGGATGTCTTGGGTTGAGGGAGGTTTAGGGTTTAGGGTTTAGGGACCCTTAATCCCATTACCTTAAATAACCATTGTATAGTCCTTATATACCCCTTATATAGCCAGGTAGTCTCCAGAATAACCCCAATAACCTACAAGGGTCCCTATGAAGGGTCCCTCCTAAAGCCCTTAGATTTAGGGT